TTACATCACTCAGTGATGTAATAAACTTTCATTACATCACTCAGTGATGTAATGAACTTTCATTACATCACTCAGTGATGTAATGAGAGCTCATTACGTAACTCATTTTTATTGAAAAACGGCACTTTTTAAAATTCATTTATCAAAAATTATAAATATAATCTTTTGTGAAAAATTAAAACCATTTCGAATATATGGAAAAAATCTGGGTCGTACATAAAATGTTGTATATCACACGTACGGTAACGCACATTACACCACTCGTGTGATTACCACGACTCGGTCTACGACCTCGTCTTGGCAATATTCCCCACTCGTTACTGTAATGAAGCTCATATACCGCACTAGTAATATAAATAACTATTTTGTACTCGATTGTGTAGTTAAAAAAAAATGATGACCTCTTACCGCACTAGTGCGATAATGAACATAACGCAAATGAGCAAAAATTAGTGACATGATAGTCACTTATTGTGCAGGTCGTAGATAAAATGTATTTATCGACAAGCGTTTGGTTATGACTTGATGTTATGGACTAGGCTATGAATCTATAACACAACTATTTTTGGTGATTTGACAAATGTCAAAGTTAAACCTGTAAAGGTAAAATGAAGGTAGACAACTATTATCTATTATCTATTCACAATCCGATGTCCAAATGTTAAGGTAAAATTTATCACCTTTCAGTGCTATTCGATAGGGAAAGGTGATAAAATTACCTTTACCTTTGGATTACGGATTGTGAATAGGATATACTATTAAACGAAAATAATTGAAGAAAACATCCCCTTTTTTCGCTTTGTAGATAAAACGTTGTACATCACACGTGCATTTAAACATGACTTCAGAACTCCTGTGATAAGAACGACTCGGTCTACGACCTCGTTTTTCTAATCTTTCACACTCGTTATTGTAATCATGTTCATAAACGCACTTGTAATGTAAATAGAGAGATATTGCAAGTACTTAGAGAGTTATTGGACGTGGAATAAGGACAAGCAGTATTTAAATTAGCCTTATTTTGACATCTACGCATGCGCATTTGGGTCCGAAAATAAGGATTCCCATAATAAGGTTACTGCTTGTCTTTATTTGTGTATGGTTAGTGCGAGGCAGTAAACTTCCCTTATTTCAAATTTCAGACATTTTTGACGACTTTGACGTATCGCTTTTCGACGATGACGTAATTTTACTTAGAAATTTTTTTTTTTACAATAGTTTTCCATTTTACTGTGGGTAACATCAAAAAATGGTATCAGCAGAAAATCAACAAACAAAAATAAACACTTTTTGAGGCTGAAATTTATAAACATAGCTATCAGCTGTCAAAATTATGAATACAAAATAAGGTAATACTCTAGCACCTACTACAGTCTTCCAATAACTGTTTTTTTCTTGGAAAAATAGTGCTGATGCACTAATAAAATAACGTTGATCCTTAATACTGCGAGGCAGTATTTGATAGTTCCAATAACTCTCTATTGTCTTATTAAGGCAATCCTTATTTTGACAGCTGCGCATGCGCAGTTTCCATTTGAAATGAGGACAGCCTTACTAAGGATAAGAATCTGCCTTATTTAGAAGGTAGGACCTGCCTTACCTTTGCCTTATTTAAAAGCTGATCGGCGATGATCGGTAGCAATCGCGAACTGATTTTTGTTGTGTTTTGTGTTTATAACCATAAATTTTAGATTCATGACAACAAATTCAGACTGTTCTTGATTTTTTTTACCAACTTCAAGAAATGGAGCAAAATCAAAATACTATCCAGGCACAGAAAAGTGACAGACTAAGGTTTACTAATAACGATGAAGCAAATTCTTGGGATTTCCCAAGAATTGTGGTCCTACACTTAATTATATGATATGTATAGACAATACTCTGCAACTGTGTTTACTGTTTTCTTCAATATCACCTTGTAGCCCCGTTTCCAACAGATATAGCAGATATATCTCAAATATTTGTTTGAATTTGATAATTGCTGATCAAAAGACAGCCATGGTGGCAATTTTTATTCATTTTCATTAATTAATTTACCATACTCACTGTCCAATACTTCCAAAGTTAAAAAACACTAGAGATTCAGGTTTCAAAATCCTACTCTACTCACTTGGGGAACCTTGTACCGCATTACTCAAAAATCTGATTGGTAACAGAATAATCTAGTTGGTTACCTATCTTAAGTATAGTAGATAATATTTCTAGATAAATAAAAAAATATATAAGTAAGTAGTCCCAATTTGCCTCAAATCATATACCTAAAAAGTATCTACCTGGAATATTTTTTTTTGCAAATTATTTTCCTAACGATTTGGCGTGTCAGAATAAAATTAAGGATACAATATACTTAATTCGAAATAAAAGAAAAAAAACGTTTTTGTTCCCTAAGTAATTCTCAAGAGGGACCATCGCCAATTTGGCCATTATAAAAAATGGAGCATGCTATACAAGTATGGCCAATTTGACGTGCTGTAGGAGATAAAATGCGAATATCTGAAAAAGTATGCCGTGAATGATGGTAGAATGGACGAACCAACACAAAAAGTATTCAAATTACTTCACTGACTTCTACCCTAACCAGAATTTTAATACGTAGTGACATAATATGGGTCCGACAGTAATTTCCCTGTGGCCACAAAAACTTTAGTTAGGATTTGTAGATATAGTAAATATTTTTTATTTTCGCATTTCCAGCTTCGGTCCAAAGTTTTGAAAGTAATATTACTTTTTCAATTCCGAAGGATCTTTCCAAATCATTGTCTTTCTATGTTTAGTATTTTCGCAATAGCAACGAAATGCCCTACGTTTGCCAATTAAAAGCAAAAGAATTTTGTATATCAATCGTTTCGCAATTTCATTTATTGATAAATATTATATTCTTCAACGAGCATATTAGTCACGAGAATGGAAATTTAAACACTAGCCGATGGCGATTATTGGAATCATTCGAGTGAATAATGCCATTATTTGCAAGTAGAAGTCTCGACGAGACGAGACCAGACTCTGCGAGATTCTCGCGTAGTCTCGAGTCTCGAGTTCACAATTAAAATTTTTCTTTCATAGCTTTATTATTGGACTATTCTGGGCTATTTGGATATAATATCAGTAAATTTCAATACTAACAATAATTATTAATGAGATGATTTCTACATACCTGCTTAATTATTTTCAGATTCCACTTTCGGTTTAGCCAGTAATGAGATCAATTTAAAAAAATGCTTAAAGCATAAGCACTTTCGGCTAAACTTGAAGTTGGATCTGAAGCTAAAGTATGTAGAAAGCATCCCATTAATTCACAAAAAAATTACAGGGTGATTCTTTTTTTCAGAAACTGGTTTATCCCACATTTTTTTTCATTTTACATTCATATTTTCTCAAATATCACGGTTACTTTTTACTTTGATTTTTCACTCTTTAAATAACTGCTTTTTCACTGTGGCAGTTTGTACTTTCATTATAATATAAAATTAAAAATCAAAAATACAGGGTGTCCGGAAAATAGCGCAAAAACTCTCCACGTAGTAGGAAACCCTTTGAGAAACCCTAGAAAAATGATTTAAAAAATCCTTCTCCAGCATCATTCTTGGTAATATGAAGGGGTAAATGTTCATCTTCGAATTCTACAAGTAATCACATAGGTATTTAATTTAATTCTCTGACATATTGTCAACGGAGCATTTTCAGTGTTGCCAATTTTAATAAATATTCAAATGCAAATAAGTTTGTTAAGAATGCCACTAGATTTTTTAAATTATTTTACTGGGGTTCCTTGAAGGGTCCTCCACCACGGAGTGAAGAGTTTTTACGCTATTTTCCGGACACCCTGTATAACTCGAGACCAGACGAGACCACTCGAGACGAGACGAGATTTTGGTACTCGAGACCGAGACTAAGTCACGGTCTCGTCTCGAGATTTCGAGACGAGACGAGACCAGCCTTAAGTCTCGTCTAGTCTCGTCTCGCGGCACCACTAACGACTAATAAACAAAAATGATTGAAAAAACATTCTTATTTTTCGCTTTGTAGATAAAACGTTGTACATCACACGTGTCTTTAAACATGACTACAAAACTCGTGTGATTAGAACAACTCGGTCTACGACCTCGTCGTTCTAATCTTTCACACTCGTTATTGTAATCATGTTCATAAACGCACATGTAATATAATAGTTATTTATAATTTTTTTGCTTAAGTTAGTGATCTCAGTAGATATTCCGGTTGGTTTTTTTGAGAAAGGTTGGATATAGGTCAAAAATAAACGGCGTTGAAGAAGATAGGCAAATACACATTTTCTTCTTCTACGCCGTTCATTTTTGACCTGAATCCAACTTTTCTCGAAAAAACCAACCGGGTTATTTATAATAGACAAACGACAATAGTCACTTATTGTGCAGATCGTAGATAAAATGTTATATATCACACGTACGGTAAGGCTCATTACAACACTCGTGTGGTTACCACGACTCGGTCTACGACCTCGTCGAGGCAATATATCCAACTCGTTACTATAATGGAGCTCATACCGTACTAGTAATATAAATAACTATTATCTACAAGCGTTTGGTTATGACGTTTTCACATAACCATTTTTCTAGTATTTGAGTTATGTCATGAGATACATAACAGAACAGTGGTGTTATAGACTAGGTTATGAATTCATAACACAACGATTTTTGGTGATTTGACAAATGTCAAAGTTATACCTGTAAAGGTAAAATGAAGGTAGACAACGATCAATAAACGGAAATGATTGAAAAAACATTCCTATTTTTTGCTTTGTAGATAAAACGTTGTACATCACACGTGCATTTAAAAATGACTACAAAACTCGTATGTTCTAATCACACTCGGTCTACGACCTCGTCTTTCTAATATTTCACACTCGTTATTGTAATCATGTTCATAAACGCACATGTAATATAAATAACTATTATCCAAAATCTGTGTCCCTCAACACTTGTGGTTATTCGAATTTCGAAATTCTCGTAATAAATAATAAATCTCTCAATATGCTTCGAATTTATTTAACAAAATAAAATTTAATTATTTTTCGATGGCGCAAATCCAACTCTATTATTACCAACATCGAAAAGAGTATAGTATTTTCCAATAAAAACATCGCCCAAAATCCATAGGGGACCTGCTGGTTCTGGCACATCCAAGCCCAAAAATCCGGAAATGCACTCGCTAATGCCCAATCCAGAGTCAACCTGAAATTAAATAAATTTAAATGTGGTAATGAATTGGTTTGCTACGAGGCTTGCATGCTATTTTGCAATAAATAACGTTTTTACGTCGTGCTTAATAATTTTATTTAGCTGAATTTTAATGCCCATTAAGGTTTATTTTATAATTTATCAAAATAATCTTACAAAACTTTCAGTTTAAATTATCGTTCATTTTATCGGACACATTCACTTCAGAGAAGAAGAATCAGCATTTTGCAAAAAGCATTAACACTTTATGTACTATTTGACAATCCTAGCTTGACTTCCAAAGTATCAGCTTGAACTCACTTCACTTGTCTATCTTCAGCCAAGCTATACGTTCGTCGAGTAGAGAGTTTCGTTAAAACATGAATTCAATATGAATGCGCATAAAATTCTTACTTTCAAGATATAATCTTTTCCGGTTAGCTCAAATGAATTACCACCAATAACAAAAGTGATATTTGGTAGTGTTGGTATTTTCTTGCAGTCAATCATGTATTCTCCGCCTAAAATTGAGACGGCTCCAATGGCTTTGTTTAGAGCTTTAATTTCTTTTGTTGGTCCAGCTAATAAACTAGTACCTTGAAAAAATAGAAAAACATGGAACTTTCACAAATAATAAAAAACGGCATTGAAGAGGAAAACAGTTTCAAAAAACTAAAGTTAAAATCTTTAAAATCAAATATAAAATTAAAGGCATTGCGTTATGATATGGATTTATTTTACAGTATCCGTCATAGTGATTGATTATTAGATATTGAATAATCCACTGCATTAATGCTGGGAATGTCTATGTCTATGTTAAGCTTTATTGAAGGAATCTTGTCAGTATATAAAATATAACTTTATAATGCCTTTATATCTCAAGCTTTTAAAATCCGATGCACTTAATAATATTAAAAGCTTTCCTGAGATACAAAAATAGTGAACGCGGCTTTGCAAATTTTATTAAGTGATTACATAATTCTCGCCGACGATAACGCATTTCATCTAAATTAAGAGACTCTAAAATCACGATTTAATTATTTTACCTGTATCAACAATGGCCTGACATCCTCCGTCACAGAAAGTCTGACTTCCAACTTGAATGCTATCAGTTTTGATTTGCCAATAAGCTTGTCTAGTAACATTTACGTAGGTCAATTCACCTTCATAGTATTGTGGGTCAGAACCACCAAAAATAATTTCTCCACCAACGGTACCTTCTGTATCTCTATGAAAATGGAAACCTATTTGAGATCTAGTTTTTGTGAGGTTATGTGGTGTTGTTTTCAGTTTTAGTTTTTTCACGTTTTCACTTTGCATATAAATATTAAATGTTTGAAATATATAATTATTATATTTGAATGCTTGTTCATAGCTTCACAAAATACAAAATATTGAATAGCTTTAAAAATTGTGACCTTAACGAATCGCCCTAAAACGAAATACCCTGTAATTTCTAAAAAAAAAACTAAATAAGGTCTGTGTTTTTTTTAAAAGATAATTCCCCAAGTCAAAAATGTAGTAACTATGTTGGCAACACAAGCCTTTTCTACATCAAAAATTTGAAAGCATTGACAATTTTACATTGTATTGCCAACATAATGTCATTTTGACTTTTATCTTTAAAAAAAAACAGATTTTAACAAATTTATAAGGCAATACCTAATATAAAATCCGTTGATATAAACTAATTTGATACTGATAAAGTTCACCTCGCAAAAAAAACGCTCATGTGTCAAAATATTTAATGTAAAAGTCCTCAGAGAGGTAATCCATCAAAAGCCAATTTCGTATCGAGAGTGTCTTTGATAAATGTATTTAGAGTGGATGGCTTTTTTTACATATTATTTTATTATGACATGATGTATGTTTCGTTTGTACTTTTTAGGTGTTATAAATTACCTGTTGAGATAGAAACTAAAAACAGGTTCGTCTACTAGTTTTTGATCAATCATATTATAAAAAATTGGTTTAACTCCATCTACAGAAAGTCTTGGATACCCAAGTCCTAGAATACCATCGAATTTTCCTGCAACAAAAGCTACACCTGGTTCTGTGGTAGCTTCAGTAAAGGTTTGTTCTTTAACAGTAGCAGCACCAACCTAAAGTTTGGTTATTGGTTATTGAAAAGGTAAAATAGGTAGGTATTGATACATACAGACACTGCATCGCTGGACAAAAACCCTTTCATACTGCCAGAGCCGTAAGTTATTTCAAACTCGGTACCATTTTCCTTATAAGTTGAAGATTTTTTTGCGTTATACCGTTTGTGAAACCCTAAAAAAGACGCACATGTAAATCTGGTTCCCTATTTTAAGAATATACTTACAGCAAGCTACACTCAAACACTTCACAGAAGGTACCCAAAGATTGGAAGAGCCAGTATCGAAAATAACCGTGAATTTTTGGGGTGGGGTTCCAATAGTAATATCACCAAAATACTGAGCCTAAAATCTCGAGAAAATTATTGAGGCTAATTATAAATGCTAAAAAAGAAAAATGACGTGAGAAGTAAGCTTTAAGGTAAGAAATGTATCAATCAAATAATTAACACAAAAGTCTGGAATTCATACACCATACACAATTGAAATTCCCTTATTCGAATCATCATTTTCTGCTCAAACTATTTAGAACAATATGCATTATTAAATAAAGTGATACGTTAATCAACGATGTAAATAGAGTGTCTTAATATTTAGTGGCATGCAGACGTTAATTAAAATTGATGGAAAATTTTCTTGCATCGACTAGGATTTGAACCCCTGGACCCTTGCATATCCAGTGCAGTGCTCTACCAACTGAGCTACCTAGACCTGTCTTATATCTGCCTTGCCGGTCAAGTCTTTCATCAATTTTAGGTTGTTAGTTGTGAAGACTAACGGCAACCTTTGGTGATTATCGTTGGTATCGGAGTGAGTTTGAAGGTATAAGAAAAACAAATTTGCAATTAATGGCCTTCCAACCACAGATGCGATAGCGACATCAGCAGGTATCGGGATATCACAGACTATAAGTCTTGTAAGAATGTAAATAAAACTATTTCGATGCCTACATTTGGTAAATGTTGGTTTTCACACATGAATTATATTTCGAAAAAAAGGCTATAAGTTTTGAATGCCACTGTCAGTTTTTCGAAGTGATGGTTATGATTTCGCCAAGTATAAGAAGTGATTTCACTTAAGCCATACTCATAAATGATTAGGCTTTGTTTAATTCGCGTTTATTTTATCCTCTATGTCTCGAATATAGAAAATGTCATCCAATGAAATGACCTGGATATCCCTATTTAATTCATCAAAAGTGAGCTGCTTGAAATTTCGATAAAAAAACATTTTTGGTTTTGACTTTTCCACGGATATATTTAACTCACAAATGATACCTCTGTGGTCAGAAATCAAATCCGCATTGAGCGTGATACAATCTATTACCATTGAAGGTTGCTTAAAATATACAACATCAATAATTTTCTGAGTACGGTGCTTGTTATTCTGGTGGGCTCGTAGTCGTAGGTCGAAAAGCATTCTAAAAGAATATTATCAAAATAATGGTCCACGTTTACGTCACCTAGAAAAATTATATTTTTATACTGAGGACCAATAAAAGGCAACAGATCATCGAAATGATCAACACATTTTTGTGGGTTTGACTTTGGGAATTTGTAACCTGATCCCACCAAAATTTTCTACTTTCCAATAATCAATTCAATGAAAACAAGCTCCAACCCCTCAATCGATGGGAAATCTTGAAGCGTGTATGCGCAATTCAAACTATTACTAATGTAATGACCCAGGAAAAATAGACCCGTAATAGGGTAGTGGACAATTTTTTGAAATATTTTTTTTTTATAATCTTCATAACAAAATAAACGGTAGTTGTTGAGTCTTTGACTTTAGAAAACAAAAATATCCGTAAAAAAAAATTAACAAATTTGTACTTATTTTAAACGCTATAATTTACCGCCCAAAAATTACGTCACAGCTGTTATGTCTAAATAGTGTCAAGGCATTCCGACTTTAATAAAAGTGGCGAGAGCGCGGTTCGCGCGTCCTTATATTTCACATGGTTTTAGAAAAAGATGCCGATAAACTCAATGCGCACTGATTGACAAATGGAAATCTCTCAAAAAGTGGGGTTGTGTTGAGGGTGCGCCTAGATGTTATGATACCCGAGAGACGCTGATATATCTCTCTTTTTTGCACTAATGGGTAAGTTTGTGTCGAATATCGGACGTAGGTTTTATTTCATTCATACTCAAATAGAGCAGCTATGACGTAAAATCAAGGCGCGAAATATTTCTGTTTAAATAATGAGTCTCAAAACTCGACTTTCACAACCGTTTTAAACAAAGTAAGTAATTTTATCTGAAATTTCTTTTATTACGAAATTTTTTTATTTACTTCATAGATGAAGAATAGATCAACGATTTCATTGAAATTATATCGGGTCTTCAAAAAAAAAACCAATCAAAGATTGCTATGGTTTTTTAAACGTACGTCTAAGCAATATTTTTCTTTAATTTTGACAATGTCAGTCGATGGAATTTAATGTCAAAATGTCATGTCAAAAATCCTGACCAATAAAAAAACAATAATGCGACGTACGTTTTCGTAACCAAAGCAATCTTTGATTGGTTTTTTTTTTGAAGACCCGATACCTTGTCCACTACCCTATTTACAATGTCTTTACTGTAAAAATTAAATGTAATCAAATAATCAAAAACTGAATTTCCTGTATTTCAAATCAGTTTCTATAAATTGAAAGATGATGAAACAAATTAGCATTGACCCAAATTAATTAAAATATTTATATAGGTACGTTCAAATTTTAAACAAGCCATCAGTGACCAAGCACGTGTCACCATTTGAACTCGTAAATAAAAACCCGGAAAGGATCAATTACAAGGTTAAGCACCTAATTAAATTGGACCCAAAATGACAAAAATTTTGAACAGATTGCATCATCCTCTAAATGAAGAAGTTATATTTTTGGAGTAATATCTAGGTCGACCAATAGAATTGAATTATAGATGGCAAACGACCGCACATTGTCGATTTTGGTGGGTAATTAATAATATTTTGGGGGGAATCGAAAAATATAAATACAGCGGATTTAGAAGTTTTAAGTCAGTTCAGTCCAGTTCAGTCTTTACCTTCAGACCAGTTGCGTTTAAAGTACCTAATGAGTATGAGTCAGTCCGGATAAAATTCGCGAGAGTTTCTTTTATTTTGTTGCCTCGGGAAAACGGGTTTAGTCGAATCTTTGGAAAAGTAACGGAAAATTTGTGAATGAAAGAACATTTAAATTCATTCAACATTATGTGCGAGCACTAGAGATTTTTGAAGTAAATTAATTGAGTTATTTTACGAGTGAAAAGTTAAATGTAAGTACTCTAGTGACTATCAAAACTTTTGGACTTTATAAATCATGAATGATAACTGAATTGACATTGAACTTTAATGCATGAAACTTGAGTGATTTGACTGTAAAAACTTGCATAACTTTAATTGCGTTCGATATAATGACATTTTAATTAATTTTGCAGAGTTTAACAGGGGAAATTATAATGCACTTAACAATTATCGATTTGTAGAATGAATTTATTAAAGAATTCTGAATTGGATTGTCCAACTGAAGTTTGAGGGCTATAGTAACTAACTAATAAGAATTTAAATAATTATTGTGTTTGTTGGCTAGGAATCCGAAAATAGTAATTTTTCTGAATAAATTGATCCTTAGTAAACCATTAAATGTAATGGGAAGTTTCGAAAAGAAACTTGTTGTTCATGAAATAAGATTGTTGTCGTTAATCATTTAAAGTATCGGAAAGTTTTTTTTGAAAATTGTTGTTCATGAAGTAACATTGATGACCTCAAGTGCTGAAATTTTGAATTAGGGTTTTTTTCATTTAGAAATTATTGTAAGGTTTTTATAAAAATATAGTTGGTAATACATATATACTTAATCCAGTGAGTAGGAATATGACGTTAAATAATTAATCTGCTTAAGCTGACAGTAAATGACTTGTAATAAAGTTTGAAAGGATGTAAAATAAATTGGTTTGGAAAAAAAAATAGAAGTGGCTGTCAGACATAGAAAGTTATTTGCTATATTTTAATTTTGGTTTTAAGTATAATAAAATATAATTTAGTAAACCTCAATAGTTTGTTTCTCTCTTTTGCGAATAGACCCCCTCCACAATTTTATAGGTAGCCGCTCAAGGAAATAAACACCATCAATATACCGCTCGCCATTTACCATCTAACTAATTAAACAGAATACTTGGGCGCGTTTTGCTACACTAGCATAAATACCAACTCGTCCTCCCCTGCCATCCCTATTCACCCCAAATAGTGTATAATTAGGTATCGAATAATCAAAATTTGAATCCTCGTCATTTAACCATGTCTCCGACATGCACATGACGTCAATTTTTGAATTTAAAATCATCGATTGAAAATGATCAAATCCCGTTGCCAAAGAACGAACATTTAAATGCCCTAACTTTAAATTTTTCATTTTATAGAAAAGAAAAAAGAAAATTAAACTCTAACCAGCTACCATCAGGAAGGCCGGTACTGCCCAATTTGAAAATTAAAATATCTATAAACAAAACGCTGTTCAAGCCATAGAAGAGACACGATGACACTTTTTTATTTCCGAGTCGACTACATTTATTTTCAAATTATTTGTAAACACTTCCATGACCTTTGTTCGCAGATTTTCGGTATTTTCGCCGTCTTCAATTTTGATTCCATGGATGCGCACGTTCAAGTTCCGCGCATGCTGCTCTTGATCATCGATAATTTTTCTCAGCTGCATATTTTCCTCAATTATTTTGTTTTGATTTCCTCTAAGCGTTTCGATTTCCACATCATGGGCCTCTACCTTCTCCTCTAACTGTTTGTCTACCACTGCAGCCACTTTGGAAACCACATTTTGTAGAAATGTATCATTGAATGTTGCGATAATATCGGCTTTTAGTAAACTTCAGAATGATCCTTTGATCATTCTTGAAGCGCGTGATAATGTAATTGATTTTAAAGTGACTGCGACTGGCTTGTTGGGATCGCAGATATGCATAGCTTGAGATAAGAATTGTTATCTTTGAGTAGGTTTTTGAATTATACTTTGAATTCAATTTAGCTTTCAGATATAGGTACATTTGATCGATTAACTTTTCGATATTTATGAAAACGGCGAATCACTAAATGTATGACAGACATTAAAGTAGGTACTCAAGAGTGAAGAAGAAGGTAGGTAATGACTATTGTTGATACTTGGACGAATAGTAGAACAAAATTGGAAAACATATGACCAACGATCATTGTCGGCTATCAGAAATGCAATATCCGAACATTGGAGCAAATCCACTACGAACGCAAATGGCTGGAGACGGAACCGCTCCACAGTTGCGATGTCTCTGACGTAGCTATCATGGAGAACCATACTCAGGAATATCAACTTTTATATGACTGACCATCTGACCAGTTCTCTCTTATTTTTGGCAATGGACCAGTTTCTTTCAGCGTAGGAACACGCGATAGGCCTCTGCGAAGAGCCCATCCCTTTGAGGAGAGTTCACGAAACGAATTATTCCTGCCCAAAACTTCACGGTGATACTCCAAGGAATATAATGAATCTATTACGGGAGAACAGAGGATTGAGGAGAACGTACTCACGACTAAAGATAGCGGAAAAGCAAATTAGTATTGATGGATGGATGGATTGAACCACAACAATAGCACTTTACTCCAAACGAGATCTGTAAGCCGAGGAAGACACCGAGAAAAAAAACATCAACATATTGATGCGAGATTTTCCACACAAGGCGATGCTCATGATAACATATATCGACAGCGCAATCATATGCAGTGAATATTTTCGACATAGGTGGTTGCGTTCAATAAACCAGGAAAAGACAAGAAGTTTCCTCATAACCATCAGCCTACTACCTGCTTTGGCTAGAGTAGTTGAGAGAGCTGTCAAAAGCCGTTTCAAGGCAGCAGTCGAAACCATAACAACAAATAAATGGCTTTGTCTACATCTGGTGCGAAAGCTTAGTCTTATCGATTACGAGAGTGAGAAAATTGAAAATGGGGAAAAAATAAGAAGATAGAAGCGACATATTGACAACCCATAGTTTAGACATGCTGTGTTTAGACAGTGACGGAATCTAAAGGAGTGAATGAGAAACAAAACTGTTACAAAAACAAAAACACCTTAATATTTGAATGAATTTTATAGTAGAGAGAAGTTGTGTATGGTACTACATACTTCATACTTATGGCAGTTACACAGAGAGTAGATTAAAGCGTATGAAACTGCTCCTACAATCGTACTTCCCAGACTCTGTAGAGTGTGAGCTAAACGGCTAAGGTGGTTAAGGGCGTCTCACGCCCAAGCAACCGAACAAAAAGTCTGGCTAGAAAAATATTCACCTTGAACAAAATAAGATGGGCTTTAAACAATTTTCAGCTCTACAAATCACCAGGAGAAGACATAATTTTTCCAGCTCTCCTACAACAAGGCTTAGAAGAACTTATAGCTCCACTAGCAATAATATTCAACGCTAGCTACCTACTAGGTTACATTCCCACCAGCTGGCGGGAAGTAAATGTAGTCTTTATTCCAAACGTCCCACAGCACAGCCTAAATCGTTCAGACCCATCAGCCTAACCTCGTTTATCCTCAAAACCATGGAGAAAATCATTGATTTACACATAAGAAGCGAATTCGTAACCGATAAATCGCTCCACAAAAACCAATATGCCTATCAAGCAGGCAAATCAATGGAGACAGCCCTACACAGCCTTGTCAATAGGATTGAAAAGGCACACTCCAACCAAGAAACCGCAATTAATTGATATAGAGGGTGCATTTGATAACACCTCTTATGAGTCCATAAGAAAGGCGGCAAAAAACAAATGCTTTGAGGACACTACAATCACATGGATTGAAACCATGCTGGATAGGAAAATCAAAGCAACTCTTAGAAGCGACTCAGCGACGGTCCTAGCAGTCAAGGGGTGCCCCCAAAGGGGTGTATTATCCCCACTGCTATGGTCCATAGTAAAAGATGAACTTCTGAACATACTAAGTAACTATGGATTTGTGGTCCTAGGATATGCTGATGACCTTGCAGTCATCATTAGAGGCAAGCATGATAGGATCATTAGTGAACTCATGCAAAATGCCCTCAACATCATCAAAAGCTGGTGCTTGCAAGAGGGTCTAAGGGTGAATCTTAGCAAGACAATAATTGTACCATTCACAAGGAAAAGGAAGCTCAACTTAATAGCTCCAACACTGGATGGAATACAAATAGGCCTTTCAAGTGAAGTCAAATGTCTGGGCGTTCTCCTAGATCAAAAGCTCACCTGGAAATCACATTTAAAAAGAATAATCGATCGCGGAACAGTAGCGTACTGGACATGCCGAAGACTATTCAGTAAAACATGGGGCCTAAAGCCAAAAATGATCTATTGGTTATATACGTTGATTATAAGACCCCTAGTCACATATGCTGCATTGGTGTGGTGGCCAAAAGTGAAGCAGCAGACAGGGCAAAACCGATTGGCAGTTGTACAAGGTATGCATGTCTTGGAATAACAGGTGCCATGAACACCTGTCCAACCGCTGCTATAGAGAGCATGTTAGATATCATCCATCTGCACATTGCAGTGAGGAGAGAGGGCTACGTGGGGGCCTCAAGGGTTATACGGTCTCTAAACCTAAAGGAAGGGGATCTTGTTGGACATATGAGCATCATTAAAGAATGCCATGGTACACCAACAAAACCGGTGGACATCATGCCAGCACCAAGCACCCGAATCTGCCAAACATATATTCTGCAAATGCGAAGCCTATGTCACAGAAGACTCATTCATCTGGAGCAGACACATTTGATTGCTGCGGATGTTAAACGAACCAATCCCGGAAAAATCATGAGATTCGCGAAAAGTCTCAACCTGGGAACCTACTAGAAAAAGAGGAAGCACAATAGATCTATTCAGGTCGCAGTGCAGCGAGGTCCATCACCTAAATGCCCCTAACACAATCTAATCTAATCTAATACTCCATACTTATTACTTTGGAGGACAATGTTCACTATGTCAAATTAATTTTATATTAATTTTGCATAAAGCCTCATGTCATCAGAATAGACTCCGAAGTGGTCTTAGCTTAAATGCCTTTTCAGAATCAGATTAGGCTTCAAATAAGAAAGATAGACAATTCTTTAATTTTTAAATAATCCATTTCATGAACTCATCACCTATATTTGAAAACCATTTAACGGCAATCCTATAAGTATAAGGAAATATCCCTATATGTATGAATATGATACTCACATCCAAATAATTTGTTAATGGTTCAGGAACACTATCACTGCGGTACCTTAGTTTAACGTCTTCATAGTGAGCACCAAGTTGCTTCAAGGTTGTTCTTGGTGATACATTTTTTTTTAGTGGAATCCTGGAAAAGATATTCAAAAAACTTTTAGATTGGCAAAGAATCGTAAAATCAATGTTTGAATATGTAGGTATAAATATATCGTAAATAATTCCTGCATTACAGTTTCAGAAAGTAATTTTGGATTAGAATATTTTCCATGTGGAAAATTTATAGTATGTGTTGATTGGTGTTGAGTATTTTTTAAAAATTTTTACCTTAAACTTCCACTAGCGATAACTACACAACATAGAACCAATGCAAACCTAAAGTGCAACATCTTACTGTTTCAACTTAGTACAACAAAGTAAATCAAATATAATCTGCTTATCAATATATATTGCTGTTAGCAACCCACTTGACAAAACTTGGTTTTTAGTCCTATACTTAGTTTAGTGCTTCTATTACTTCAAGAGGATTGATAAATAAACAATCTTTTTTTATACATAAGTATGTAGTCGATTTTCGTGCCTTATCACACTTTCCATTTTTAGTGATCAAAAGATTTCGATTGAAATAAAAGCATAATAACTATCCGGGTATTTTCCAAGATAAGTGTAAAATTATCAAGCTAAAATATAGGCCAAGATTTTATGCCCACGACCTATTTTATTATGCCAAATCAGCCACCGAATTGAGCTTCTTCATCTCCTCTACTTATGACCTACTTTGAAAAAACCTGCCTTAATAAGGCACTTAAGGGACTGGTGACCCAATAAGGGTCTCCTTAAAGGCAAAATGTTAAGATTACGAATTTCCTATTTAGTCTGGTCCATTAATTTTGAATTTCCCAATTATTATTGCAAGATGCAGAGATAATGCATTCGGAATTAGTTCGGTTTGAGTTAAGGAAGCGGTTGATAGTGTTTAATTAAATATTACCGGGAAGAGTGTGAGTTTTTTTTTTGGGAGAGAATGAAAAGCTATTTTCTGAATTATATTTTTTTACAAACTCAGTCATTATTCTTCCTATACCTACATAAAATACAAAACCCAGAATATCAGAGAATGTTATTTCGGTAGTCTATAAAAAAGGTCCCTTTGGCATATTTGTGTTTTTGTATACGTTGTAAATCTTCAATGGAAACTTCTATTCTTGTGAGGCTCGAGAATAAATAATATTGAAACAACAAAAAGAAAAATATATATTTGAGATCAATAGATTTATCGCAGTGGGCCAAATTTCGTTCTTGATGTCGTAAACCCTCGAAGATAACAAATATAAGATTAATTGAATATTGAAACCATTATAGCTATAAGTTGCTACTTCCATTGTCATTCGTCGATAACAAGTCGGTAATAGGATACAGGAGCAACAGCCGATTGCTGCTGTCGATTGTCGATCAGATATTCAACAATTTCATATTTTGAATTTTTGTTTTTTTGCATTGTTGTGCATCGAATTGGTTTCATACATGCAAATTTGACTTATTATTATTCAAATGGATTTTCCAACCGCCCATTCTCATTATTGCAGGCAATGTGCTCCAAGTGGGACAATCTTTTGAGAGAATATTTGGACATGGTATTAGCTATGCTATTTGAAAATAAATTTGTGGAAAACTCTTTATTCCAATAAATATTCTTCTTCTTCGAGTGCCTTGTCCTTTATGGATGTTGGTAATCATCAGCGCAATCTGTAGGTACTATGTCGACTGCTTTTATGAATAGACTTGTCGTGGTTTCGCCATACCAGTGATAAAAATCCTTTAGCCAGGCTATTCTTCGACGTACAGGGCCTCTTCTGCCTTCGATTATGAGCTTGAGAAGTAGGTATCTATTTGTCATTCCTGAGTATAGTGAAAAAGTTTTTTCCGGGCTATAATGCCGTGGTCCATTAGTATTTATACCTAACGTTTCGTCTACTGCTGCGGTAGACATCTTCAGAGGCGGTGTGGTAGAGGACGAAGTGTTCTCTTCCGTGTTCCTCCGATGACTGAATTCGACCTTTTTTTTTCTGTCCTGGCTAAATTGAAATTTTTGGTTGTGGGAAAAGTATAGTTACCTTATGTTCCCATGTTTATGTTAGAAAATGTTCCCAGAGAATCCCAGGTCGGCTTTGACGAAATGGTTGTCGCAGAGGTCTTTGATGTGTCGGTCTATTGGTTCAAGTTCGGAGTCTCTTCTAATTGTAGTGTTCCTTACGAACCATGGAGCGTTCATATTATTTCGAAGGAATCGATTTTCCAGGCTTTGGAGTGGAAGGCGGTTTTCTGGAGTGGTCGTGGTGTACCAGGCTGAGGCACCATAAGTCATAATAGGCTTGATGTATAGTTTGTAAGTGTCCAGTTTGGTTCTTGTGTTCAATTTGCTGAGGCGGTTGAGTAACTGGTGCAGCTGTCTGTACTGGGCTCGGGCCTTGTTCCTGGCGTAATGGACTTGTCGTTTCCAGTTGAGGCTTTTGTCGTAGATAATGCCCAGATATTGATTGTGTGATTTCCATGGTAGCTCGGTGTTCTACCATTTGAGTTTTTTCTCGGGGCGGGTGTTTGCGGTTACGCCCGAACAATATGACCTGGGTTTTTCAGGGATTGACTTGGAGTCGCCATCTATCCATCCAAGCTTCCAGATAGGACAGGTGCCTGTGGAGGCGTGCCCTGATTATTGGCCGTATCGTCGGCGTTATAACAGCAGAGAGGACTCTCTCTGGACTTTGGAATATCAGACATGAAAATATTGAAGAGGAGCGGACTGATTGGAGAGCCTTGGGGAACGCCAGCTTGGATGGGTCGATACGTTGATTTGGCTGCGTTGGCCGTGTTGGTGTTAATGGAGACGCAGAAGCTCCTGTTTTCGAGGAAGGCCGCCACCAAGCGGACCTGGTAGTGCGGAAAACCTGCTCTGAGTAACTTTAGTAGGAGGCCTTGGTGCCACATTCTGTCGAAGGCCTTGGCGATATCTAAGAAGACTGCTCCAGTCTCCATCCGTCTGTTGGCGCCTTGTAAAATCAAGGATGTCAATCTGGTGGCTCGGTGATAGGTGGAATGTCCGGATCTGAAACCCATCTGTTCGTTGGGAATCACGTTTAAGCGGTGCGCCGAGTCTTGCAGGTCCCATTTGATAATCCTTTCGGTGATTTTCCCCAAGGCTGGCAGTAAGCTTATTGGACGGTAGCTTTTTGGATTTTGGCCGGACTCTCCGCTTTTCCTGATTAAGATAATGTTTGCCAGCTTCCATCTGGAGGGGAAGTGACACAGGTTGAACGTGGCTTGGATGATTTTCACTAAATCTTCAATTTGGTTTTGAGGCAGTTTTTTGAGGGCTATGTTGGTGATGCCGTCAATGCCCGGGGCTTTTTTCCGGTCCAGTGCGGTTATGGTTTGTCTCACTTGTTCGCTGGTAATGAGTGGTGGTGGATGGTGTATTTGCGGCTGTATATATAGCAGGCGGATTGACTGGTCCACGTATTGTTCATGTCCAGGGTAGAGTGGCGGGTTGTCGGTGAATTTTTTTTTACTTGTTCCTGAAGGCTGTCGGCAAATGCTTTAGCTTTGAGGGCTGGGTCGTTAATGGTGATGTTGTTGACCTTGATGCATGGCATTTGCTGGCGGGGGCCGTTGGTCAGGTTTTTTCCCAGCAGGAACAGTTCTTTCCCAAGCTGGCGGACGGATTCCAGCTTTTCCTGCCATTGAGCTTCGTTCACTCTGTGTTTGATCCTTTGGTTTAGCTGGTTGACTCGCCGTTTAAAGTAAGGGTCATCTGTTCGGAGTGCGATCCTTCTTAAACGGTTTCTGCTCTGGATTTCCTCAATCAAATCGGGAGGTAGTTACTGCTGGTGTCTCTTCAGGTGAACCGTTGTTTTTGCTATCTCCAGGGCTTGAGAGATGATTCTGGTGAGTGAGTCAACCGCTTGTTTTAGGTCCTGGGTGTTCCGGATATCTTCAAGAGCTGGTTGGATTGTCAGATGGTTACTGAAGGTAGTCCAGTTTGGGAAGGTGAAGTCTCTGCGTCTGAACCGGGGGCTGTCGTGTATGTCCCCGTATTCAATTACCACAGGAAGGTGGTCTGAGGTCAACTCGTGGAGAACCCGTGGAAGAGACACGGGGTGTACGTTTTTGCTGAGGAAGAAGTCCAGAGTGCTTGGGGCGCCATTTCCCAGGCGGATAGGTTCGTCGGGTCTTGAGATGTGAAAGTTAAGTCTGTCTGCGCCGTATTGGATAGCCAGTCCTTTTTGGTTGTTGGTGGAGTCGCCCCAGTCTTTTTTGCATAGAAGTCGCCGCCCACTTAAACTGGTAGGACCGGGTCGTGGAAAAGTTCGTCGAGTTGTTGAAATGTTAGGTAGTTGTTGGCTTGAAGATAGATGGACCCTACTACAAGAGGACGGTCACGTGTTTGAGGCAAATGTGCCTTCAAGTCCGTCGGCGGGGTTTGCTTCTTCGTAGTGAGGGATGTTCTTCTTGATTGCAATGAGCCCTCTGCCGTCCCTGTCCTGTCTGATGATGGCGTAGTTCTGTAGTGAGAAGCGGGATGAAGGTTTCAGCAGGGTCTCTTGTAGTAGGAGGACATCAATCTGCTGTTCTTTCAGGAACCTTTGTAATTCAAGTTTTTTAGATTTGACTGAATTGCAATTCCAAGTTGCAATCCGGAGGAATGCTCGAAAACTTCCTTAATCATCTAAACTCAATAGAACCCAGGATACAGTTTACGATGGAGGTTGAGAAGGACAACAATATTGCATTCCTCGGCGTCCTCTTAGAAAGATTACCCTCAGGTAAACTGGGACACAGAGTATATAGGAAGCGGACGCATACAGACAGATACCTCAACAAGGAATCCAATCACCATCCTAGGCAAAAGAGAGGAGTCAATAAAACTCTATCTGACAGGGCAATCCGGATTTGTGAACCCAGATACCTTGAGGACGAGATGCAACACCTAAAATCAGCACTTGAAGGAAATGGGTACTCCAAGCAAGAGATAAATAGAGCTATAAAACCGAAGCAACAGCGCACAAATAACAGGGAATCGGCACAGGTGGCAGAGAGAGACTTTCTTCCCTACATCAAAAATGTCACAGATCGCATAGGACGAACGATAGAAAGACACAACATTAAGCCTATCTACAAGCCTACAAGAACAATTCTGCAAAGTCTAAGATTGTCCAATGACCCTAGGGCACCTCTTGAAACGGCTGGCGTCTATAGAATTCCTTGCTCTTGTGGATCTGTCTATGTAGGAACAACCAAACGCTCTATCAACACCAGGGTCAAAGAGTACAAAAGGAACTGTCAGCAGGGACAAACGATAGATCAGCAATCGCCGAACACGTGCTAACACAAACAAACCATGTCATTCGTTTCGACCAGACTCAAGCATTGGATAGAATCAAACATTTTTACTCCAGACTCCACAGAGAAGCCATAGAGATACAGAAACACTACAACAACTTCAACAGGAAAGAA